GCTTGTCGACCGGCCTGTGGAGGGGTTAGGGAACTGCTCTTGCACCAGAAAGGTTCTGGGATCGAATCCCGGGCAAGGCATGGATGTTCTTTTCTTCTCTGTACTATCTGTCCTTACTGTGGGAGCAACGTTGGCCCACCTAATATGGTGCCCTTGTAAGAGAGGCCAACAAATCTGCCCTATGAATGTCCGAATTGACGAACAATGTTAACACAGGCGGGCATTGGGGGGAGAGGAGGGAAGGTAGCTTCTCTTCACTCTAGGGCTAACACAATAGACCGAAAAAAATGTCCTCTTACTCTCACCGAATCTTAGCCAAAATCTGTCCTAAGCAATGACCCCACACCCCTTGAAATAGTTAGACCTCGTTACCATAGTCACCGCCAAGGGTCTTGACAAATGGCTAGGCGAGTTTTTACTTTAGACAAACTACACGTTAAATAGTTCATTAAACATTTTTTTAGAAAAAAATTGCACGTTGAGACATAAAGGTTTGCCACCCCTGGACTAAACCATCCGACAGAGAGTAATGAAATTTGGCATACTAATAGTTCGTCGCACGAAGGTTACTGTTGACATTAAAGCATTCTATTACAAACCGTTCGAGCGAAAAACGGATTGGAATTTTCTTGCGTCATGTCCACTTAATTGCATGTCGGATAATCGAATAACCCGCTTACACGAATGGAACCAAATCATTTTATATGCAACTAATGTTAAACTTCCCCGTTTAAACTGACATTCTTTGTTTTTTGTCCCCGCCTAATTGCATGAAGAAGAGGTACTGAAATGAAAAAAATTTGTTTATTTTGGAGAAATGCTTCACTAACTAAAATGAAATTTTCGTTTTTCAGTTAAGATAAGGATACAATAGGTGGTCACTTCAAAAGGGTCCTGTTCATTAGTTGGTCTAAACAGGTGTTAGGGGTAAAATTGAAAAAAAAAATCTAATCTTGCTGCTAGTTATACATTGAAGTGAGCGACGAGTGTTTTACCCCTCTTTGAATTATAGTTTGTTTACGGTAAGAACTCCCCCCGCCACTAAATCTGAGGCCGTCTGCTGCTAAGGAAACAAGAATAGCGAATTTCAGGGAGGGTAGCTTCTCTTTACTTTAGGGCAGTGTTTCCCAAACTTATGACTTTTGTGTACCCTTTCTAAATTTTTCGTAATGCTGTGTACCACTAATAAAAAAATGAGTGTATTTTTTACTATAAAAAAAATTGCACAAAAGTTAAAAATCACAACTGGCTGTTGACACCACTAATTATTAACTGCAAACTCCGCAAAAAATAGCAAATAGAAAAATACGTAATCGTAAATTTTCATGGCTAGCTTTGTTTTTAAATAAGTTTGTTTGAAATTTTCGTTTATTGCAAGATATTTCGCATAAGGACGCGTACCCTCGCTAAACTGTTCCCGTACCCCTGGGGGTACGCGTACCACACTTTGGGAAACACTGCTTTAGGGCAATATGAAGAAAAATGATTCCCTTTCTCTCCCCCACCCGAGACAAAATATATCCTAAATAGTGACCCACACCCCTATTTGAAATAGTTATACCTTGTTACCATAGTCACCCCCACAGGTCCAGACGAATAGGGGAGTTCTTACTTTAGACAAATTGTACTTACTTACACATCATTTAGAATTTTAAAAAGGTACAGAGTGATTTGTTTTGTAGTCAAGATTTGTGGTCCCCTCCTGGTGCGCTATTAGCTTTCATAAGAAAAAATTTCAAAAACGTAACAAATCAGTATACAGTGTGTCTTTCTCTTAAGTAAGAATAATTATTGCTTAATCCAGAGAATAACTCTGAGAATGATTGCAAGTTCAGCGAGAAAAGGATGGATTTGAATTAATAGAGGGGGGGGGGCAATGAATCTGGGAAACGATATATTAAAAAAAATTCCAAACTAAAACAGCTCATTAATTTGGAAATTCTCAAGACGAGGTTAGAAAAAAAAAATTTAAAATAAATAATCTGACTATACGTTTGAGAGGAATACGCAATTATTCATGAAAGTCTTAATAGAAACTGAAAGGGAAAATCTAATTTTGATAAATTGACGAATTAAACGGGTATAAAAATAGTCTTCAATTATAGATTTTTTCGGAAGGGATCAAATAATATTTTAGTACCTATATATTATACTATTCACTAATATTGATTTATTTTTATATAACTTTAAATGACATTTATATTTTATGATACTAACACAGATACTATTAATCAAAATTGTTTATTGATCATAAAACTAAGTTTATTTAATCAAAACACTATAATTTGCATTAAATACCATTAAAAATAAAATTTCACAGAAATTTAGGATAGAATATTGCACTCTCCTTTTAATCGAATAACCCTCTCAATAGCATAGATTTGGCTGGAACTGATGATATTCCTTTAAGCGGGGTTGACTGGTTAAGCCTTAGCCGTTGTTTCCTCAAAAATCTTAAAGATGACATCATTGATACTTTATAGCTCTATTTAATAATAATAAAAAAGAGTTATTGCTTGTACTTCAATTAGTTTTTTTTCCCGCTATGTCATAATTTCAATCAACAACAGTTCCGCAATTGACTGATTGTTGACACGTTCTCAGCAGATCACCGAAGTCGAGCATCACTGGCCCCTTTCAGCGTGCGGGTGAAAAACTATTTGGATCAATCTGTGAAGGGACCGAGGGTGTGAGGTATTGGTCCTCGTTTAAATGTTATACCGAAATACTTGACTTCACGCGCATGTCGTCGGTCTATCGAAGCGAAGGGAGCCTCACCTCTGCAGAGTTCAAAATTGTGATGGCATGTCTTCAGATGATTGTCAGGAATGTTTTCCAGACCGTCACCAATAGCCCATTGAGCAGCTTTAGTGCGACGTAAACAACAACAACAATGAAAAAAAAATTTACGTGGTAGCACTATGTCACCAAATTATCTCGAAAGTTACCTGAAATCACGTATTTAATTTGTCACGTCTGTCAAAATATGTTTCGGTATAAGTAAATAATTTAAAAACAGCGGTAATTAAAATATAAAAAAAATTCTTTTGCAATGAAAGGCAAAATTAATGGGAAAGGGGTACTAATTTGCTTAGGAAAAACGTAGAAAATTACTTCAGTTTTATTAACCGCTGTCCCTTTTTTCTTTTTCTCTGGCCTTTTAATTCCTAGTAAGAATATATATATATTTTTGGTATTCCCTCTTTAAAAATAAAAAGTCAAACAGCTGATAAAAAATATTTGTTAGATTATGGTATTATATATTTTACTGAAATATAAAATTCAAAATAATTAGTTTGGAAAAATCTTTTTTTGATTCATATTCAAAAATATATTAATCATTCTGTAAATTAAAGAAGTTTCAATTATAAATAACTGCTTCGCTAAGATTTAAATAACTGCATATTAGTTAAATTGTTTGGAAGTGAGCCGCGTTTGAAATATTTGACTTTTTATGCAGAGAAAGACATGGTGGTTTACATTATATTTAATCTCACCAAATATTATTAAAATTCTAAATTTATTTGTCACTTATCCTGACATGAATAAATACAAAGAAATAATGAAAAAAAATATATTTAATGAAAATTCTGAGTCATATTGTTAATGCTGACGCTCAGTTCATTTAAGTAATGTAATAAATGCATATTAAAATACTAAAAAGTAAGCCATTATGTTACAAAAAGCAACATTTATGGCGTTCAGGTACTTATTCATTTAGATTAATCGTAAACAAGCGCCATACTATTATTGTCGCCAATGATGCTTAATTAATATGGGTAATTCCTATTATATAAATTAAAAAAAATACTTATTTACAAAAATTCCAAGTTAATGGTAAATGTCGATATTATGCCTAGTAATGCTGAATACAGTTAATCTCAATTTTAATGGGCTGAACTACAAAAAACAGGTTTTGTTATGTTTTTGCTTATTAATTTTGTCAGTATATACCGTTCAGTTTTGTACACGATTTCATTGGGTTGTTCAGTTCCGAGTTATTGTTTTTTAATTTTATTAATCCTGTTCGAAGAGTGGATATTCAGCTAGTTGAAAATAAAGAAAAGTTGAATTACAGTTATAAAAATTAGTTCGTTAAAAATAAGTTAACTAACGCTTTTCGTTTCCCGAAACTCTGGTTTTTTTCTCAGGTCAAGAGCTAGCTCTTGTTCAATACTTATTAATATTATAGTCAAATGACTTCTAAACGTACTATTGGACGTATTTTCAAAATTTTAATTAAATATAGTAGCATTAAATTCTAACTTGAGATTCATTTAAACTGAAATAGTTGCAGTGTTATAGTAGTAGCACCTTGGATACATACGTACTATAAAATAGTATCTTTCTCTTGATATACATCTTCAAGAAAGAATAGATAAATGAGATAAATTTTCTTTTGAATATATTTATTTTTAGTGGTAAGAGTACAGCATAAGTAAAAAGTATAAAAAAGGAAGGAAAAAAAATCATTCAAGTTGGATCTGAGAATTTGAATCATGTATATTTGTTTTTGTTCTTAGACAATAGGCAGAGTATGGTAGCTAGCTTGACTCTATGAAGGTGCTTGCAGATGCAATCATATAAGGTCTATGACCACTACTAGTGGCATCATCCTGAGGAAAAGAGAAGCTAAGTCTTTCTTTATAACTATTGTATAGCTGCCAACCTTGGGAATCAAAAATTAGGAACACTATATGCGACAAAATTATACGCCCTAATTACGAGAGAAAGATAAAAATTTAACTATTAAATCATAACACTAATAGACATATATTTAAATATGTAAATTAGTAAAACAAAACTATAAACACTATCTTTTGTGGGAAACTTATAATATTAATGTTTTATAATTAGGAATACCGGTATAATATATTAAAAACAAACATTACCTATTAATATATAATTATTTATCTCCAAATTATAAAACACTGGTAAATAATAATCTACATCATAAACAAATATTTCTGATGCAAGTGTTTAAATACTACAAAAAAAAATTTCCAAAAATAATAATTTAGTGAAATAATCAGCAACAGACAGCTATTGGAATAATATTTTCCAATAAAAAGCTACTAAAAATTACTTTAGCACAATAATCACAGGATGCATGCTTGTGGCGATCAGAAAAAAGGATTGGTTTAAAATCAAAAATTTTATGAAAATTCAGAATTTTTATAAAAATATCAGATTGGATTTAAAAATTAGGAACAAATCCGAAAAATTCTGAACAGTTGGCAGCTATGCTATTGTCTGCTTAGTCAGCTGTAAAATAAAAGCATTTTTCTAGATAAAAAAATATAAATCATGTTACTTTAAAATTCTACAGTGGATCAGAATCCAATCAAAGACTTCAGTTATATTAATAACTGACAACCGTGCCGGAAAATAAAGAGCTTAATTATTTTTATGAATTTAAAAAATATACAATTATATTTAATACATATAGCAAAATCAATGACTGAAATGTTATCTTTTTACGGTACAGAGATATTCTTCAAACTAAATGAGATTCTGCATAAACCATTGTAGAAAATCAAGTCCTGGTAAACATATCTCACAGAAAAACTTTAAGCAGACAATGCTGTGAGACTATTCCCCGGGACAAACATGAATCATCAGTAGAATCCAGGCAAAAGCTAGAAGAAGAGAACAAGTTGCTTCAAATTAATATTGTAATCAAGATACCTTGTTAAGATTTCAACCAATGGTTAAGTATATAGATAAAAGCACAACTCTTCAAATTGTGAATCTAATAAAGGATTGCATACATTAGTTTGAATCAATTTGAATTACAGAGCGAAAGAACAATTAGCACAGAAGTATACATTTTAAGTTATAAGCACAGATTAACAGAAAAAATTTTTAATTATTAAACCTGGCATATCCATCTTTTTCCACGCATATGGCATACTTGCAACACTTTCAGAGTGGTCTCACAACTCTTTTGGGTGGAAGCATCACTCAAACTCATACTTGGGGATTCGACACATCTGTCACTTTAAAATCAAGACGTAAAAAAGGAGTGTAAATTATTGCAACGTTAGGTTTGTTGCTGGATTTTTTCTTTTAAATTCTTTTTGCAGATCCCCAATTTAGTCAGGTTACTTACATCTGAAAGAGAGGGGAAGATCTGATTAATATTATTTAATATTTCTATTGCAGCATCAATCAGGGTTTACACATAAACAATCACAGGACATTACATCACAGCATTTAATAGTTAGTCACAGCACAGATTTTCTTATATTTTCTTTACACAACATAAATGACCCCACAGCCAATTGTTCAGTTGGTGTGTGCACTGGTGAGTCACTGTTTACCCTAGAGACAGCCACATAGGCTTCTTAAAGGCACGAGTCCATGATGGATCATGGAATGTGCATGTTGTGTTATCCCCACGCTGACTTTTAATGATGAGCCAGTACATGTTGATGTGTTTGTCAATTGTTCAGGTTTGATTGCACTGCTCCCAGTTTTTTAGTATCTAATCACCTAAATTCTGTCGACATCACCAGTTCCTTAATGAATACTATTTTCTAAACCGTTTTCAAGAATAAAAATTAAAATCATAAATTAATTTTCTAAACTTATTAGTATCCAGATCAAACATTAAATTAGTTTTTAATTAGAATGCAATAAATGCCACTGATAAAAACAAAAGTAATAAATATTTCTGAAATAATCAAATTAAAAAAATATATATTATTAATTTTATTAATAAAAGAGGAATATACTAACTGGTGGTGCACTGTCTTTTTCTTAACCAGGGTTTGATTAAAGACAAATACTGATAAACATTAAAAGATCATTTAATTCATTATGACTTTAATTATTTTATTAATACTGTAACAATTTATAAACAGTGCTGTACTAACAGTAAACAATCCATACTATTACAATACAGTTGGGGAAAAAAACTCACAATGATTAAGGTAAAATGCCACTGTTAACAATATACAATTCACCGAATAATCAAAACAAAAAACATTATAGTAATAATAGAGAAAGATACTAACTGAGACACTCGTATTAGCTTTTGTTGAGTCTACATCTCATTTAAGCTAACAAAGAATAGAATTAGATTAATCTCCGTGCAATCGAAAATTTTTTATAATCTCTTTCAGTGTTGAACAATATACCCATTGCTATTTTGAAATAGCAATGGGCATTATTCATTAGCGTTATTAGCATTATTCGTTCAGTATATTTTACCAAAGGTGTTTAAAGTGGAAGAGTATTTATAATTCAGGGACAATGCTTTACACCAGCGGTTCCTAACCTTTTGTGAACCATCGCCCCTTTCTCTTTTTGCTCAAAAACCATTCATTGCTGCTTGTGAGCAACCAAACGCTAAGTTATATTTGATTTTAATTTAAATTGTAATGCAAATAAGGAGGCAATTTTATCCTGCCATTTTTATTAATTAAAAAAAAATTTCACCTTTTTTTTCCAAAAAGAAATGATATTTAAAACGGAATAATCAAAACATAAGTACCTTTTTTAAAATTCATATTTTAATGTAATCAAGAAAAAGTTAAAACGTTAGCAACTAAAATTTGAGAAAAAAATGAAGAGTGAGAAAGTACATTTTTACCACTTCATTGACTACCCTGTGCTTGGTGTATTTCAGTTAAAGCTTGAATGCCAGTTTTTATGTTCGTCAGACTTAAACGCAGGTCGCAGGTCTCCTTTGAAGCAAATGTCCAACCCATTTATTTGCTTTGTGAGGAGCTGGACGACAGAACTAAATCCTCTATCCACTAAATATGTTGACGGTAACGAGATGAGGAGCGGCTCAGTTTGTTTCCACAATTGTGGATAAGTGTTCATAAGCTTTACCCTAGCTAACTTGTAACCGTACTTTTTAAAGACGACTTTAGTATACTTCAAGTCTAAAAGCTCAGTCTGCAAAGAGGAAGTGAGCTTATCCACAACTTCAAAAGAGAAAGGATCGAAAATCCAATCCGGAATTTCTAATTTCATCAAAGCTTTAAATCTTGATTCCATATCAGTTTTTAACTGATCAAGGTGATCAGTAAAAATTAAGATTTTTTTCGAGAATCTTGATATCTGCCATTGAACTCTTTCTAAGAGTTGGAAATTGCATTAGCTCTTTGCGACCGATATTTGACTTGTAGATATCAAACTTGGCGATGAATGCAGATATGTTTCCCCTAGCCTTGATAATGTTCACTTTATTTCCTTGAAGTTTTACGTTGATTTTGCACATTTTTTCAAAAATATCCGTGAGGTACGCAGTTTCCAACTTGCGTTGCTTCAAACTTTCACTTAAAACAGGATCAGTGGTATCGAGAAACTCAGTAACCGAGTCAAAAAATTCGAAAAAACGATGCAAACAGTTTTCTTTTGAAAGCCATCTCACATCTGTATGTAGGGGCAAGCGTTCGAAATCTTCATTTTCACGGCAAAGTTCTCGGAACAAACGGTCATTGAGAGAATTAGCTTTGATTTTATTGATGGCAGAAATAACGAATTGTAAAGTGTCATGCAGGGCACCATTCAACTTTTTTGCAGCCAAATATTGACGATGAATGACACAATCAATGGTGATGACCTCCGGTACTTCATTTTTAAGGTGCGCTAGAAGCCGAGTATGACGACCAGACATGGCAGGAGCACCATCTGTTGCACAAGCACTTACATTTGTAAGGGGAATTTCTTTTTCCACAAAATAGTCTTTGACCAATTTAAAAATCTACGATCATTTTGTATCAGTGATCAAAGTTCTTGTAAACAACATTTCCTCGTTCATCCAATCATCTATGAATCTCACGTAAGCTAATACAATAGCTTTGTTATCTATCACAGTTGAGTCATCAATCTGCAACGCAAATTTACCTTCTCTCATAAATTTGATGAGTTTTGATTTAACGTCTGCGGCCATCTCATCAATAAGTCTGGAAACAGTATTACTGCTCAGAGGTTTTATCTTATTGCTCAATCCCTCACCCAACATGATTTCAACAGTTTTTTTAGTAGCAGGTGAAATAAGAGTTTACCAATTGTATGAGGTTTAGAGTTATATAAATGTTTCGTCTATCAATCCGTTTCTCTTATTACATGCCTTTTAAAATCGGAGGGATGGCAATGAGACGAGAGAGGAACATTTGATGAGAAGGTATATAAAAGACCATGAATTTCAATAAAAGAGAATTCTTGAAGGTCAGATTTTCGCCAGCGATACCAAAACGTATGACGAAAACGATCCTGAACTTGAAATGTTTTAATTTTTAATAATCGTAATTCTTTGTCTACACCAGATCCGTAAGCTTCATATATGTTTTCAATTTCGATCTCAAATAGATTTTGTCATTAATATTATTAGCAATTTTTATCTTTTGAATACTCGTCGACCCCTGATCGCCCCCCTAAGGATTATCGCCCCCATGAGGAGCTCTATCGCCCCCAGGTTGGGAACCACTGCTCTACACAATCTTCCCTCTGTTCTTTAAGGGTAGAACCAGAATCATTGAGAGAGAGAACTAGTCATAAAATATTCTATTGCATCTAAACATTTTTCTGCATTGTGTAAAGTAGCACAGATAAGAATATTAGAAAAAAACACTCTCTACTGAATACATTCTGAATATTTTTCTTTACAGCATCATAGTACTAAATCTGTTCGAGTACTGTCAGGGATCTGTCCAGACATTTTGTGAAAGGTCCATGTTTGTAAAATTGAGAAAAAATTACTCGTAATTTGTGAATATAAAATAAACGTTATGTCACATTCTTTCAACCAGGGTCCTGCTTATGTGAATTTGTGCGAATAGGGTCTGTTAAAAAAACTTTTTCAAGGAGTTTTTAAATTGTAAAGACTTACAAGATTATGCCCAACACTGCAAAATTATAATTAAAAAAATTAAAATTTAAAAAATAAACAGCAATTACTGCTACTAAATTAGAGATGCAACATACAAATATTTGGTAATTTGCCTATACTGCTGAACGCAGAATATTCATTTCGGACGAATAAAGGAAGAAGCGTCTGCCAAAGACAAAATTTATTTCGTTTACATCTGTCGTTCTCCCCCACTCCTGGGAAGGGTTTATTCGATTAACAAAACAATAATGAAGATAAACGAATTTGTGAAGGGCCTGAGTAAAAGATAAATTATTTTGTGAAATGTCCGTTTTTATGAAAAGATATTTTGTGAATAGTTCGCTAATGGACCCAAATTTCTTCTAAACAGACTTCTGACTGTGACTACTCTTTCTTATTTGTATGGGATGAGTTCTGGTTATCTGGCTAAATGTCAAGACAAGATTACAATATTTTCATATAATTAGTATATTAAGTTATGTATAAATACACTTCCTTTTTTAGCAACTTTGCTATGCATTCTACAAAGATGTTTGCCAGTTGAATATGGCCCTAGCAGTTTAAATGTATGTGATCTTAACCAATACATTCATCCACAGATAAAGCTGATTCACAGAACATTAGCCCAAGTAAAATTCACAAAGTTTTAATTACTTCATTGAATGGCTATATAATGACGTTTTCAAGATTAACAAAATGTTTATGCATACTCAGATTTTTCAGCAATAAAAATTTCTAAACTCTTCGTTCGAGAAAAACAAATCAGGAATATTTCTGTATTCTGCTCCGCCGCGCCAACTACAATCGCCAAGGTGCTTAACAGATTTTAAACTTGCAAATTTAATAACAAAAAAAAAAAAACACATGTTATGTAGATAGTTGCCTGGGGGTGGTTACGAGTTATACCTTCCGAGTTCCCTTCTCTTTTTTTCTAGTTCCTGGCGGCTGGCTGCCCAGAATTATTCTCCCACAGATCACCAAACAAAATCTCCCCAATAACCCCACAAATTTTATCAACAACAAAAGCCAGTTTTTTAAAGTTGGGCTTTGTACCCAATTGCACATCATTAGTTCCTTTATTTTTAAGAAAAGCAAAATAAATTATTATTTTATAGCACAACCATAAGTAATATTAATAAATAAATAAAAAAAAAATCAGTATCTGAATTAGAAT